GAGGAGGAGGAGGCTATGAGGATGGTCGGGAGGGTGGAGGTGCTGGTGCTGGTTGTGATGATGGTGATGGTGGTGAGGATGATAACGATGACGACGATGGTCAGGAGGGGGGTGGTGACGGTGACGGCGATGGCTGTGTTGAGGACGATACAGCACGGAGGGTTTCAGGTGCTGGCCCTGTATGTAGACTGCCACGTCAGTTGATCCGCACTGTAGACTCGGGAGTAGAGTTGATCACTATCGTCTCTTTTTACAGATGAGGAAACTGACCCTGAGGCTTTCAGTGGCCGGCCCCAGACATATTCAGCTCTCAGTGACTGAGCGTCCCCCCACCTTCCAGGGGCTCCAGACTCCCCAGCCTGCCACCAGTCTTGGTCTAGACCTGATGGTGTGTGCTTGTCTCCCTCCCAGGATACGGTGTCATGGCGGACGGGACTACCACCTACGTGAATGCGTCCGTGTGCACTGTGAACTACCAGCCCGTGAACCCACCCATAGTCATCGACCTCCCTACACCCCGGAACTCCTGACTGCTCCCTGCAGCCCAGCCCTGCCTGCCCAAGCCAACTACACACATCTGGTCCACAGCACAGACCTCCCCCACCCTTCCTGCTGCTCAGAACAGCTCAGCAGACCCGGCTGGCTGTGGGGATGGGCTGAGGCCGAGCCCCCTGACTCTTCAGCCTCCTGTGCCCTGAAGCTGGACCCCTGTGGGGTCCTGCCCGGGTTTGCACACATCACCATTTTCTGCGTGGACCATAGAGGACGCCTAGCTCATGGCTCGCCCCGACTGGAGGGTGGCTGAACCCTCATCCTTCCCTGTGGGACAGCCTTGTGGGTTCAAGAAGCCGCTGCCCTTGGACCCCCTTGGCTGCGTCTGGGAAATTCTAACATGAAACCACCCTCTCACCAACGTCTCAGTGGCTGAAGCCCCGGGAGGGGTTTAGGATTAAGGACCGGAGGGTAATTTGTAGCCTGTGCTCCTACTTCCCTCCCTCTCCTGGGCGGGAGGGGCTGTTCGGGACATCTCAGGGAGCCGGGCCACATCTGGCCGGGTCACCAGTGATTGGCCTCCTCTTGTCTCCCCTTTCCCTCCTGGGTCCTTTTGGGTGACTTTAACAGTGGCCTGAGCACCCCGGGCACCCCCTGGGGCCCAAATTTGCAGGCAGCTGAAAAGAATGAGTGATCAGAGGGTCCATTTAGGACTGGCCAAAGGCGCCAGGGTCTTGGGGAGCAGAGCCCCTGGCTCTGAGAGAGGCTGCACAGCTTTGGGGGACCCCATGTCAGGGCTGAGGGTGGGCATGGGGGAGGTCTGCAGGCTCAGGCAGCCAGGCCGGACATACACACCTGCATGTATGGGACACACGCGCACCTTAATTAAATGACAGACACCCATATCGGCAGAGGCTTAACTGGCTCCAAATGCTTGTGGTCCCAGCATCAGGGGACACTGGTGGGGCAGAGCCCCGCCTCCAGCAACCTCACCTGCACGGGCAGCTCTGGCTTCCTGGCCTGTAAATTAGGACGGGGGCAAGGCAGGTGTTGTGTCTGGGGGAGAGGGAACGAGAGGCGGAGTTAGGGAGGCAGGGTCCGGCGGGCGCAGGGCCATGTTCTGGGTTTAAAATGGTGACATTTCGTTCATACCTGGGTCTTCTTTTTCTGCCGCAGCCTTTGATTTAAGCCCCTTGCGTTCAGATCTGTGCCAGGGTCCTTGATTCCTGAGTTGCAGACCCGAGAGGGACCGCTCGCCAGCTGCCCACCTGCCCCAGCCTGGGAACCAGCCAGCCCCATTTTGCACGAGCCCTGGCAGAGTAGGACTGCTCACTGCAAGGTCAGCAGTTCAAAACCACCAGCCGCTCCAAGGGAGAAAGTTGAGGCTTTCCACTCCCTGAAAGAGTCACCCGCAGGGGCTGTTGTAGCCTGTCCTATAGGGTCCCTGTGAGCCGGCATCCACTCGATGGTGGGGAGAGATTTGGCTTTGCAGGGGTCATCTCATTTCACGCTCACGCACTGCCCTGCGCCATGGGACTGAAGGTCCCCACTTCAGAAGGGAGGTGCGGCGATGGTGGCCAGAGAGGAGCGAGAACGTGCCTTAGGGCACATAGCACAAAAGGAGCAGAGTCAGGATTTGAACCGTGGTCTCTGGCTCCGGATCCTCCCTTTGGCCATCACCCCAAACTCCCTCGGGACGGGACGCACATCTACATGCTTACTCCCACGGGCTCTTTAAAACACGGTGTCTTAAGGGCCCCCCCAACCCCACTTTGGCTCCTCTCTTATAGAACAGCCCTAGAGCCCCAGAACCTCCCCATCTCTGAGACCAGCACCCTGCCATCTGGGAGAGCCCGGCTCACTCCAGCCTCTCCTCCAAGGGCCCCCATTACCCCAGGCCCTGCTTGACCCAGGCCAGCGTTGGGGTGCGGGGGGTCAGGCTGCCTGGCTGAGGGGGTTCCTGGGACTGGGATGTTTACAGGGTCTCTGGGGAGCCCCTCAGACTCGCCCCACGTGTGAGCACACGCCTAGCACACACACAACACCCCGGCCTCCAAATGTCGGCTCTGAATTTCTTCGTTGGGGGGGACCAAGAACTATACGCTTCAGAAAAGACAAGAAAAGGGAAAAGCAAAGAGGACGTTTTCCTAAGGAATCTCCAGAATATGGTGTATTTTTACGTGGAGAAGAAGAGCTGTGGAGGCAGCTGTTCCTTTAAGAGAAAAGCGCATCCGAGGCCTTGAGGGACGAGGGACGGCACCCCGCTTCTCAGTCAGTGTGGCATCACTTGTTCGTGGCTGTAATTTCCTTTTTTTGTCAAGCATGTTAGACAATAAAGTCTTTATAAAAAGAGCGAGTCTGGCTGTAGCCTCTTCCTGGGCTGAGTCTGGGTGTTGGGAAGACTGGGGGGCGGGGAAGGGGGCATTCTCCGGTGGGGGGAGGATCGTGAGTCCGGCAGCTTTGTTCTCAGCCCGGTCACCTGCTTCTGAAAGAGAGACCGGCCAGCCACGGCTAACAGCGCCGAGCGCAGTTCCGCTCCGACACGTGGGGTCCCCCTGGGTCACGCTGGGCAGCCGCTGGCGTCCCATGAGAGGCTGGTGCTTCCCAACAAGTCGGCTTCAACCCAGAGTGGCTCTGGGCGCCGGAATAGGCTGTGGTCTCCACGGCAGCAGAGGGCCAGGACTTTCTTCCTCCGTGCTGGCGGAGAGCGTCGCACCGCCAACGTTGTGGTTAGGGGCCAGGCTCTGACCCCCCTGCCACGAGGGCGCCCATGTCCACATCGGGGAAATGGCGTGAGGGACATAGGGACACTGTGCCATCTTTACTCCTCGCCTAGAGCCCTAGAACCATTTTCAAATGGCTTGACCTGCCCCATCCAGCACCGGCACCTTGTGGTTGCGGGCTCGGGGCCGTGGGGGCGCTCACCTAGGCCCGCTTGCTGAAGGATGAGAGGCCACACAGCAAAGCCGAGTCACCCGCGTCATCCCAGGTGGGCCGTTCCCAGTAGCCATCTGGCACTAACCCACAGCCAGCCAGTCCCAGGAGTGAGCCCAGCCTAGCTGTGGGAACCTTCTGCCCTACTGCTGTTGGCCAGCCGCATGGTGCTGGGCTGGCTTGCCACCCAGCATTGCCAGGGCAGCAGGTAGCTGACGCATCTGAGGGTCAAGGCCTGAAGCAGTTTACTCTCTGTCCCTAGGACTCAGCCTAGGGGCATCCCTGGCCCTCTGTTGGCCCCTCAGTTCCCTTCCTTCCATTCCACTCCACTGGGCTGGCCTTGCCTGGGTTTCCTGACGGGACTCAGCCTGTTCCCTGCCACGGCCTAGGCTCTTGCCAGTGCTCTGCCTGCAGGACTCTGCTCAGCTCTGGGCAGCGCTGGCTCCGGGGCCTTCATCTCCAATCAGATGCCTCCTCGGGAAACCACCTCTGACCTGGTCCCTCCCACCCTGACCTGCCACTCTGTAGCCTGTGAAACCCATTGTCCTCCCGTCAATTCCAACCGCCCCATAGGGTTTCCAGGGGTGTGATGTTAGTGAAGCAGACTTCTCCCCCACACAGGCTGGGGTGTGTGTGAGTTGCTGGCCTCACACAAACACGTATGCATGCACACGCATGACACACATACAACACACACATACATACAAACACATATTATGCTGTCTTCGTGAATGTCCTGTAGTTTGCTTATCTAGTTTCGAATATCCATTGTCATGGTTACACACAAACTCACAGACAAAATCCATGCTGCGAGGGTTTGCTAAGGACGTGCACAGGTGAGAAGCGCTCGGGAGTGGTTTACCAGGACCTGTACCGAAGCTTCAGGTCTGTTGATGTCTGATGATGCATACCCACGGAGAGAGACCACTGCTGAAATCTGAAGGCATTAGCTCACTGTTTCTGGGTCAGCCAACTCAGCTGCCAGAGCGAAGTGTCCAGAGGCACCCATTCCAGGAAGCCTCAGCCCGTAGGCACTCAGCTCCACTTCCAGGGGTCAGCCGGTCCAGCTCCCCAATGAAGTGCCTGGAGGCCCCCCCACTCCGCAAGACAGCCTCCCACACAAAAGCCCTCAGCTTGACCTGCTCCGAGGGTCGGGAAGGCCCTCACTCTGTGCCCTGCTCTGGCTCCTGGTCCTGCTGCTGCTCCCTGATGGCACAGCTGTCACGTGGATCCAGGAGGTTCACTGTGCAGGGATCTCAGGTCCAGAGGACACGCTCCACTCCTGGCTCTTGCTGGTCATGAGCTCCCTCCTCCTGCTTCTCAGAGGGCTTGTTTTATACACAGCAGGGTGGTACTGCTGGGAATCCAGTTCGCAACTGCTCCCAGGTGAATCCTATTAGTATCTTCCCACACCTTCCCAGACCCAGGCAGGGAAAGGTCATTCGGTGAGTGTTAGAGGGCTTGGCGAAAGAGCCACATTAAATAATTCACTCCTGCATGCCCCCTACACACACACACACACACACACACACATATATGTATACACACATGGAAACACACAGATACACATACAAACACACAGATACACACACACCCATGTTGGACAAGCCAGTTGGTGCCCAGTGGACGCCCACTCCTGGCGACCCCATCTGTGTTGAGTGGAACCATGCCCCTGGGTGTGTTTTTAAAAAAATCATTTTCTTAGGGGCTCATACAACTCTTATCACAATCCATACACACATCAATTGTGTAAAGCGCATTTGTACATTCATTGCCATCATCATTCTCAAAACATTTTCTCTCCACTTAAACCCCCTACATTAGGTCCTCATTTCCCCCCCTCCTGCTCCCCACTCCCTCATGAGCCCTTGATAGTTTATAAATTGTTATTTTGTCATGTCTTGCCCTGTCCGACGTCTCCCCTCACCCACTTTTCTGTTGTCCATCCCCCAGGAAGGAGGTCACATATAGTTCCTTGTAATCGGTTTCCTCTTTCCTACCCCCCACTCTCCCTTTACCCTCCCTGTTTTGCCACTCACACCACTGGTCCTGAAGGGATCATCCGCCCTGGATTCCCTGGATTTCCAGTTCCTATCTGTACCAGTGTACATCCTCTGGTCTAGCCAGACTTGCAAGGTAGAATTCGAGTCATGGTTGTGGGGGCGGGGAGGAAGCATTTAGGAACTAGAGGAGAGTTGTGTTTTTTATCGTTGCTACATCGCCCCCTGAAGGTTTTTGAGGCTGTAACTGTTGGGAAATAGACGGCCAGTCCTTTCTTCCGCGTTGCCTCCGGGCGGGCTTGAACCACCCGCCTTCGATGAGTAGTTGAGCACGTCACCCTCTGGCTGCCGAGGACTCCGCTGTCTCCACACACTGGTGGCCTGGAATGTCCCTATCACCCTTGTTAGTCTGAAGTGCTAGTGCCTCTAGGCAGTGCCCCTTTCTGTAACGCTTAGCAGGCCGCCCAGCACATGGCCGGTGCTCAGAAAGCAGTGCTTCCACAAAGGGCCGGTGACTATTGACTGAGGAAGGTCCCGGGTTCAAATCCCGAGTGAACCAGCAACTATGATCATGCCCAAGTTACCAGTCCACCTCTCCTTCCTCTGCAGAACGGAGTAGTCATTTTACCACGTGTGTAAAGCATGGGGTTTTCCAAATGGTCCGACCCTTCCATGGGGACAGTGCTAGCATGGACGCCCAAGTGAGGCTCCCAATAGCCCTGGGAGAAGCCCAGGACTAAGAAGGTAGATCTTAGCATCTCTCATCCTCGGGGAGAAGCCAGCACCACATGGTGAAAGGCCTTCCTTGTTTAGAGGCCTCTTGTTGAGCCCTATCCAGCTCCAACCAGAAGAGACTCCGTATTCTGAGCCAGGGAGGAAGGCCAGGACTGGCCAAGTGCCCCAAACCCACATCAAACCCACCGCCGCCAATGGATTTCAACTCCTCCTGGCCCTATAGGGCACAGGAGAACTGCATTCAGGGGACGTCCAAGACTTCCATCTTCAGAGAAGCTGACCACCACACCTTTCTCCTCCAGAGCAACAGCTGGGTCCCCTGGGATCCGTCGTCAAAGCACAGGGTCCCTGTAACAAGGGGTGCTTGGACGGTTGGAAAGATCTTGTTGGTTTATCCCACGTCTCAAACCACACATTTCTTCACGCCCTGGAGTGGCTGTTTACACAGCCAAAGCTCTCACTCTGTGCCCCATCGTCACTGTGATGGGAGGGGTGCTCCCCTGAAAGATGCTCCCCATGCAGCTTTTAGATTACAGCCGGCACTTAATATAAGCAAGTACACCTTCACCAGTCAGTGCAAACCATTCCACCTGGCAGAGGGGCGCTCTGCTCAGCCAGCGCAAACTTTTTCTCCCTGGAGGAGCAGGCTGGGCTGTGAACGGGCTCTTCCTGGTTCAGTCGTGGCCTGCGAAGCAAAACGGAAACTGCCATGGACCCGAATTTATAAAATATGGATGAACCGGGTCGATATCTGGTATGGGGAAATTATTTTACAGGTCATTATATTACAGGTCAACGTCCTGCCAGAAACTTAAATCTCCCTCTTGGAAAAACAGGGGTGGAAAGCATGTTGCCTAGCTACCAAATCTCTTGGTCAGCATAGTCAGAAACAACGTGGCCCTAATCAAAGATGGCGGCACCAATGATGCTATTCTGAATGTGTACCCCCAGGCCTGGTGGTGTCCAGTCTCCTATCAACCTTCTGGAGGGGCTCAGAATGCCTCTGCTGAGGTTCCCCTGCTGGTTGTTCTGCTTCACCCCCACAATGTAGAACTTCAGGTCTCTCCTGGTTTTTGCTCCATTGGTCGTAAGTGGAAGGGTTTACATAGGCTCTGATCCCTGAGTGCAAGGGACCCGGTAGCTCGACGAAGCTGAACCCATCTTCCGGGCTTCATCGCATCCTCTCCTTCGCAGGAGGCTCTGGTGGGAGTCTTGGCAGAAGGTCAGCCTCTCAAGCGGGTTGGCTTATGCGACCAGCACAGCCTCACTGAGTGCCCCTCTCGCAGCAGCAGGGTCAGGCACTTGGGGTTCCATGCCCTGTGGCTTCCATCTTGGAACACCTAAGGAGTGGACCTTTGGATCCAGGTGGTGTGAGGAAGCCTGATGGGTTTGCTCTAAGGGCCTGGAGCCTTTGCACAGAGGTGGGCCTGCCTCCTGCCACTTGCCTGCCTCTCTGAGACAGATCTCTGGACACCTCCTATCCCCTCCCTCCAGATGAGCCATCTCCTCCCAAGTAAAATATGAGTGGGTGCGCCCGTGACACCCCCCCACCCAACCCACCCCAGTCAGAAAGCAGTGCACTGCTTGGTAGGCATCTTTGGGTTGGGGCTGTTTTACACCTGCTGTGGACTGTGGCCGATCCTGAGAAGGGTCACGTCCAAAACAGCTCCAAAGCAGGTCTGGGCTG